CAGTCTTTGGTAGTTTTTCTTAGCTGCAGAAGTTTGTCACTTTGTCAGGTGCTCAGTCAAATCCAATATTAACTAATTTTTATTTTACTGTTGAGAAAATTTCACTTGAATACACTTCTGTTCAATCTAGTTCCAGAATCTTCATGGTTTGCATGCTTTTGGACATCTATATGTTGTGTACTTTTGTGCATATATGGACTTGTAATATGCTCTGGACTGTAATATGTGGTAATGTGCCCTCTATGTTGTGGAAATGTGATGCGTGCAATTATGTTTGTGGACACTCGGTAATGTTTGTGGTCGATGACTTTTATGTATCATGGCTAATTTGTATGGGACACTTTTTAATGCTTGCTTTATATGTGACTTGTGCTAGTTGTGCCAAAATTATGTCGAAATGCTGTCCAAATTTTATTTAAATTTTGGTCAAATTTTGTAATTGTCTAGTTTTTGTGATTTTTTTGTTAAAAATACAAAAACATCACAGCAGATTCCCATATTTGAATTATTCACGTAAGCTGAAGTCACAAAGTAGGGGCAAAATCACACAAAGCTGAAAAAATGGGAGCAAAATTGCAATAACAACTGAGGGTATAAATGTCCTTTTCTTTACAACTAACACGGTTAAAACTGGCTGTTAGAAGTGGGGGTACACGGCTGCTTCAAATTCAAAAAGTGGAGGTAAATCTGCAAACCCTAAAAAATGGGGGTAAAACAATAATTGGCTTCGAAAGTGGGGGCATAGATGCAATTGTCCCATTTCTTTATGTCGTGTTTTTATGTCTACCTTTTTATCTTTGACAAACCTTCCGATACATACATCCGGCAAAAATGAATTGATTGGACTGTTTTAAGCTAATGGTCATTTAGAGTAGTATTATGGGTGAGTTGTGCAGGGAATTTAACTATTTGCCGCTATTGCGTTTGCCAATTCTTCAAATACTCTTATTAGTTTTGGCCTTTACGAATTTGCCACTAGTAAGAGTTAATCCTATATACCTATACAAGTGAGCCCCACTATGATCTCAGTTAGTGTAGTTATTAGCAATTTCATGAACTATGGTTAAGCCACATCATCTATTTGATTCTCAGCCGGTCGATTACATCTCACTGGTCCTCATTGCGTTATCGTAGCACCGATCGCCACCGCACTGATCCTTCCCCTAGCCCGCCTTCACCACCCACCGCATCGCCTCCCGCCTTCTACGCCCCCAGTGCCGCAGGTGGACCCTCTGCCCCACGGCCGAGTCGCCCCTCCCTGTCCTCCCCGTGACGTCGCACCCTAGCGCCGCAAGTGCCTCCCAACCTCTTCGCCTCTTCGCCTCCTCGGCGTGAATGGAGAAACGGAACCGTCGGTGGACACACACAGCAAGAAACGGAAACCGGTTGATCCCTGAGTCCCATCTGTTCATCTTCATTTTTTGAAACAGTACGTCGCTTGCATTATTCTGGCCTTCTTTCCCATCCTATTTATGTATGATGATATACACAACAGCTGAAGAAAAGTGGTACACAGCAGCTGGATCGATCTGCTCGGCCAACAAACAGCTTCTCCTCCATACAAGAACAAACGTCTCTGGATCAATCTGCTCGACCAGCAAGTAGCTTCTCCTCCATACAAGCACATCCCTGGATTAATCTGCTCTTCCAATAAAGGGGTTGTTCCACTGCTTGCTAATCTAACATGTTCCAGCGTAGGTTCCTCCCCCACTCAGCTAAAACTTTTTATAATACATATTGATTGATGCGAATTGAGTAGTCACACTAATTTCTTCGTGATTCAATTATGAATTTCCAACCGATTTTCAGTATCCCAAATTGGTCACTTCTTTTTTTTCCCTGTATAACAGTATTTGCACTTACAGTTTAAGTATCCCCTTCAATTTCTTCATAGGATTAACTACTTTGATTTCCTCTTGGGTTTATTATTGGATTAAATAATTGACAACCATTATACCCATGTTGTTGAACTATTGTGGGGAAATTTCTTCGACGGTAATACGTAATAATATAATCCTTTTTACCCTAACTATACAAATTCTATTATCATGCTCTTTTGTTTTCCATTTTTATTTTTTCATTTTTATGATTATTCAGGTTACCTTGCATCTGTCAAGCACCTTTGTATTTTAAGGTTTTAGTATTCTATAATGTAACAAGGAAAGTTTAGTAGTACACTTGCTTCACGAATCACTACAGATAATTCCTATCACCGAACAATGTTTAGTGAATCAATAATTCGTTTCACTAAATGACATTTAGTGATTCAATGATTTTATATGTATCTTGCGTACTTGGGGTACTAAATGATAAGATGAAATATAACTTCAGATAAATTCCCAATTTATCAAAAGTTTGGTGATCCTTTAGGCTGAGTTCTTATCTCTACTTTCCCAACTCACCTCTCCCTTTTTCACGCGCAAACTTTTCAAACTGTTAAATGGTGCGTTAGAAATATATATGAAAGTTATTATAAAAAATCATATTAATCCATTTTTCAAATTTATTTTAGCTAATACTTAATTATGCGCTAAACGCTGCTTCATTCTGCGTGCTAGGGAATGAGGGTTTCTAACCCTCACTTCCGAACACAGCCTTAGTCAGCCCTGAGAGCATTATTCAGTGAAGCAAAGGCTCAGAGATGGATTTTTTTTTTATCATATGCAACACGGTGTTCTCATATAGATTCTTTTTGTGTGATTTTTGAGGCTTTGGCAATTCTTTCTGTAACCATCAATGTAAGTGCCAGCTACAGTTTGTACAGGTCCCAGTCTTCTTTGATTTTGTTTACCAAATATTACCTGACCTGAGTTCACAATTTAAGTCATAACAGCATGATCTCAAAATTCTCAAATTAACTTAAAATAAGTTACTGTTTATTTTACCTCAAACTTACATTGATTCATATATCAAGTTTATCTTCCTCATGTACTTAGAAACTGCATAATTTATCAACTTTTCATGAATCCCATTTCCTCGTATGAGGTAGCATCATATCTTTGTTTCTTAGGTGAATCCTGTTTGTTTTTTAAGATATGATGATGATCTTCAAACTTCCATCTGTAGTACATATATATATATATATAAGATAAGAACTGCATCGAGTATTTTCAGTATTGTTCTTGCCCCCCGTAGATTTGGAAGCTAGCATTTGATCAGTAATAATAAACTGAGTTCGGGAAGCCTACAGCAGATGAGAAAAAAAATACATATACAATCGTTCAGCTCTTGCCTCTGCAAGAGGTAACAAGCTTGCTCTTTACTGTTGGGTTTAGTCTCACATCGGTAATTGATGATGGAGAGCACGACTTAAAAGATGAGGGCGGTCCTCACCCATCAGACTAGTCTTTTGGGTTGTGTAGGCCATGGACCTAAAGTTGTAGCTCCGGTTGGGCCTGTGGTGGAGCAGGTCTAATGTGACCTGGGTGGGCCGAGTTGCGCACTCTAACAAGTGTTTTTTGGGTTGTGTAGGTCCTGGACCTAAAGTTGTGGAGATTGTTGGGTTTAGTCTCACATTGGTAATTGATAAAGAGGGAGCACGACTTAAAAGGTGGGGGCGGTCCTCACCCATCAGACTAGTCTTTTGGGTTGTGTAGGCCCTGGACCTAAAGTTGTGGCTCCGGTTGGGTCTGTGGTGGAGTAGACCTAATGTGACCTGGGTGACCCACGGTGGGTGGGTCGGGTTGCGCACTCTAACATTTACCATTAACCTTATCCTATTGGTTCATCGTGAATAAATATACTCCTATTTTGTGTAAGGCACTATCGTGGTGTTTTACATGAGGAGGTCTCAATGCACGGAAAGTGAAGCATTGTGCAAAAAGTTGCACCATTACGAGTTTCAGACTACACACTGTATTGCGTCAGTTTCCCTTCTTTACACGTACATTATTTTTATCTCACAAAGTGTACCTGGATTTTTAAATTCTATTTCAATACAAATATCCCGCAGCAACGCGCGGGGTATCATCTAGTTCCTTTAACTATTTATTACTTTTACTGACGTGGCACGCCAACTCACATGCCACTGTGGCTTCTCTTCTCCCTTCATTCAAACTCGAGCAAAACAGCGAGCCGAGACAAACAAGGACACCGGGCAAGCAAGGACATCAGGTTGATCTAGTGTGAAACGACGATGGTGGCGGCAAGAGGTGTCCCGAGGTTCGACTCGTCTGCATGTGGCGTCGTTCTGGCCCAGAAGGTGATGGAGATGGTCGGAATGCGAGTAGCAAGGTTCAGATCCAAAGAGAGAGAGAGATGTCTAGCAAGCTCCCGTAGTGATCTCGGTCGCCTTGGGCTATCACAATGTGTTCCCGGACATGGAGAATTTATTTCCCTTGAAGTTGAAGGCATAGGTGAAGCGAGAGTGGCCAACATCGTTGGGGCGCGGTGGCGAGCAGAAGGATGGCCATAGCAGCTTCCATGGCGGCAGAACGGGAGGGTAAAAGTTGTAAGGAACCCTAACCATTGTGAGGTAGAGCTGGTGGCGCAAGGGCGTAGCAGTGAACGATGTGAGTTTGCAGATCGACTCGCGACCTCGACGATGGCTTGAAGAATCGAGAAGAAGCGGCAGGAGCCAGGCCGGGTGAGTTGGAGGGACGGGAACGATGTGAGATTGCAAATCGACTCACGACCTCGACGGTGGCATGAAGGAATCGAGAAGGAGCGGCGGGAGCCAGGTGAGTGAGTTGGAGGGACGGGAGCAATGGGAAGCCGGATAGAGGAGAAACATCGAGACAGAGATATCATCGGTAATTAGGATTGGTGGCAGAGCAGTGAACGGCTTGAGCTTATATACGAACACGTCGAAGGAGATGACGGAGGAGGAGATTAGGAGAGGCTGACGGGTAGGGTCCATACTTTTTTTCATACTGGTAAGGCACACTCGCATACCACATAGTCAAAACTGATAAATACTTGTGAAATCACCTCCCTTCAACTATAATTTTATAAGCCCAAATCTTTAAATGGGCAAACAGTTAAATTTCCGAGTTGTGCCGGTCCCCTATGGTGGTCGATCCACGATTTCCAGATTCCAGACCAGGGGGGCTCCGCCAGCCCATCTGACTCATCGCGCCCGCCCCAGTCGATCTCGTCTCCTCTGCTCCCCCACACCCCGCGCGCGTTCTCCCCTCGCCCGCCGCCTGCGCGCCTATCTCCGCCGCGCGAGAGGTGGCGCGGTGCCCAGCGCGCGTCCTGCTGCTTCCACCGCGTCCTCGCCTGCCTGCCTGCCGGTGAGCAACCCCCTGTACCTACGCACGTCCTCTCTCTCATCTCCTCTTTCCTACATCTATCTATCTTTTTTTTTAATTCCTTCTTGATTGAATTGGCGTTAACCCTAGCTTCTCTTCTAGATCCCGGATTCAGCGCGAATAGCCTGGCCCCCTTCGCGAGGCATTTTTTCCAGTTTAATATTTACCTGTTTGTTCCATGATATTTCTCACAACAATCCTCGACTTTTTAGAAAGGATCTGGTAGCGTAGCTAGCTCATTCGGGTTTGCATTTTGGGTAAAATTGGTTCTTGAATGAGTTGCGCAACCGTTCGATCTTGTTTATTTAGCGTTAATATCCTAGCCATCTTATGCCCTTGCTTGAACAAGAGAGAAATGGACTTCAAATCCCCGCTGGGTGATGTCTCCTCACCTTCTTATATATAGCAAGATGAATCTTACTGAACTGTGTGAGGTTGCTTCGAAATTGGCCACTCGAATCGATTTTGTCGTGCTTTTGGGGATAAAGGAAATGGTTAGTTGTTGGCTTCACTCCAGTGCTCTAGGTTTGGGGAAAGTTTGTGGTTCAATAAATGATTTTGATAATTCAGCGTTGTGTTGGTCATTTCTGGTTTTTTCTTGATTCATTGTAATTGCAAATGCCTAGTTCCTCCCGTTTAGTTTTATTGGCTCAGCGTATTATTGCTTGTGTAAACACACAAATTTATTACCCCAGAACACACATGCCTGATATGAGGAAATCATGTGGCTGTTTAACACGTCATATGATATTATGAGTGCTCCCAAAAATAATATTGTGCTTGTATTTCACTGTTTCTTTGTGCTAACAGTGCAAATGGGATGTAAGCGAGAATTCAAACTGGACATATTTGGCCCTTTTGAAACTTGAGGAACCAGCTTGTTTGGCAACTCGAGGGAAGGAGATTGGGAGTTTACACGAGAGTATTAATGGTGAGATTAAGATGGGAATTTGATTTTTAATCCCAATATCTTGTTTGGTAGAGGTGGTGGAAATTGATAGGGAGTTTAGTTGGAGATTAGGTCATTAATGAAAACGGATGGCTGAGATTTGTTTAGGCAAAGTAAAGGAGGAATTCCTCCCAATTACCACCCACTACCCAGTTACTGAAAAAGAGGGAGTTCCTTCCTCAATTCTTCATACCCATCCCACCAAAATTCCCATGTTTCCCAACCAAACAAAACAGTTAATAGCCTCATCCCTCTAAATTCCCAATCCCTCCTAAAAACTCCCTCTAACGAAACAGGCCGTAAGTGATTCATTTGGAGAACTTGGGGGACTAACTTAATCAGTAAACCTTTTGTCCTGTGTGCCCATTAGCTAGTGGCTATGCGCAGTCTCTTTGAATGGGTCTATCAGTATATAGTCCATTTATACTTCCTATTTAGTTTTATGGCATGAGCTGAGAATATGCTTGCGCTGATAAAAAAATATTTTCTTGTAGTTGTGTCACTTGCATACTTTTGGTAAAACTCTTAACATTTCAGATGACCTAATTGCCACATTTTGTGTTGTGGTGCCTTTAACTGTGAAATACTTTTATGATCGTATACTTGATATTGTGCTTTAGCCTTCCATTCACTTGCTTGCTTGTAGGTTCCTGTATTTTATTATCTTGCTGCAAATGCTATTGTCAGCTTAATTTGTGTTGTTTTACGTTCTGGGTGCTCTTAACAGTATCAGTGTCCTCATGCATGGTTTTCTTGGTTATTTCAGATCCCACAAGTAGAATTTTGATGTTGGCAAAATCAGGGTCTTTGAGATAGCTTACCCTTTTGGGCTAGAGAATGTGGAATTTCGCGTCCAGTGCTTGGGGATCTGGTTTAGGGAAGAAGAACACTCCCAACTGCACCCCGTCCAATGGTGATTGCTCTGATGATGAGGCATCTTCGTGTACAAGCAGGGAAGAAGGCCTTGAATGCCCCATATGTTGGGAGTCCTTCAACATAGTGGAGAATGTGCCATATGTACTATGGTGTGGCCACACCATGTGCAAGAACTGCATCCTAGGACTTCAATGGGCTATCATCAAGGTTCCGACGGTGCCAATCCAGCTACCATTCTTTGTCTCCTGTCCCTGGTGCAATCTCCTGTCGCTCCGCATTATTTACAAAGGGAATCTCGCATTTCCACGCAAAAACTACTTCCTCCTTTGGATGGTTGAGGGGATGAATGGTGAGCGAGCCAGATCGCGCTCTGCTATTCATAGTGAGCAACAAACTACATGGCTCTCAAGTAGCAGTAGGGCAAGTGGAAATGAAGGTTATTCGAATCCCATCAGACGTCCACTCCCACCACCGGTTGAAACACAATCCCCCAGTGTGAACCATGCCAATCATGGGGTCCCCATCTTGAATGCAGAGAGGGTACAGGCGTTGTTGCGCAAGTCGCTGTCCTTCTTGGTTCACCTGACTGCCAAGTTTCCCCTGGTGTTCATTTTCCTCCTCATAGTGCTCTATGCAATCCCTGCTAGTGCAGCTGTCTTGTTATTATACATCCTTATCACCGTGTTATTTGCTCTGCCCTCCTTCTTGATCCTGTATTTTGCTTACCCTAGCCTAGACTGGCTTGTTAGAGAAATCTTTGCTTGAGATTTCCTTTACAAAACACTGCTGGCGAAATCTCCACGCTGTTGTTGGATCTGTGTATCTGAACTGAATTCTTTCTGCTCTTTCATGTCCTTGTACGTGTAAATGTTCCAAGGACATGCGTGCCCTTGTTAGCTTTTTTTTCTTTTTCTTTTGGTGTTACAGTTGTATATTTGGAAACAGTAGAAAGCCAATGTCTGTCCTCTGTAGACATGATCACTCATCTCCTAGTACAGCCTGATCTGGAACAAACCAAATTCTACAACTCCAAAAAGGAATATGTGTGAAGTGCACAGCATGAGATGGTCCTCCAACTACAAGCTGCTAAAAGAGAAATGGCAAGCTATCGCCACATGAAGTTTATCAATTTCTGCTATTTATATCCCCTTCGTCCCCTTTCACTTGCACTACCAGTGTGATTTTCTCGTATCTTTGACTAGTAATAAACTTCATGATGTTTTTGATAAACACAAGTAGTATAGTGATATTTAGCATGCAAAGTACTTTGATAATATGATATCTTTTTAAATGTTCATAAGTTTTTAAATAAAAAGGATGAAAAATCAAAGTTTGTACATAAATATTACTACCTCCGTTTTTAATAGATGATGACGTTGACTTTTTGTCACATGTTTAACCATTCGTCTTATTAAAAAAATACGTAATTATAATTTATTTTGTTGTGAGATGATTTATATGTTATACATCAACGGCGTTATCTATTAAAAAACATTGGGAGAGTAATGCTCCGCGTAATTCGACAATTACTTGTGCTATCATGAGCAAACATTTTAACTGGCAAAAAGACCTTCAAACATGATCATCACCACAAGGGTCAGCCGCACGCGTGCAGTGAGGTAGGATATGATAGCTCCCCATACAGGTCCAAGTTGTGAATGGAAGTAAAAACTATTTTATTAGGCAGAACAAGCGTTTTCTGTGACATGATCACACTCACACGCGAGTGCAACTTGGCAAGATGCAAATCCAACTTGGCTGTCTTGGCTGGGACTGGATGCTTACATGACAGAAGCAACTTGGCCGGCATGGGTATCTTCCAAAATATTCTCTCTCTCCTCTATCCGGAGCCCAACTAGCAAGGAAGGTGTCCCCCCGTCTGACGATGCAAGTGTGCTCCACTTGCTGATCTCGACGCACAGTGTACACCCTCGGCTAGCAACTAGTGCAGCAAAGATTGACTAAACTAATGTTCAGTTAACGGGTCAGTTGCCTGCTGATATACTCGTTTCGGTTTTAATAGATTATGCCGTCGACTTTCGACGTGACATTTGATCATTCGTCATCTTGAAAAATGTATATAAATATCATTTATTTTGTTGTGACGTGTCTTTTTTACATTAAAGAAGTTTCAAGTATAACTTATACTTCAGTATATTTACAATATTTTTTATTAAGACAAATAGTTAAACACTATTTTGAAAATCAACGGTGCCATAAATAAAAAAAAATGATGGTAATATATATCTTCTCAGTATAAAAGGTTGCTGTTAGTTATCAGACTGAGGTTTTTGATTATCTAGTAGGAGTGGTTTTGTAAGTGGCATTACGTAGGTTCTTACCTGTTAGTCTTCGGTCTGTATTTGTTTAGTTCCTAAGTAGTATTAATTATCTCACTCTTTCTGAATTATACAAGGGGCTAGTTTTTTTATTCTACTGACTAGGCAAATATATTCATCTCCTAGTTGGGCATTTGCATATGTTTATATGCTATAGATCAAGTGGCATTCATGCATTCCATCTGGTTCCCATAAATCCTTATTTTAGGGCCATTGCTTAAGTAGCTATTCAATGGTGGCATCAATTTTGTGAAGTACTAGGTGAAACTCCGCGCATTGCTGCGGAAATTTAGTATGATAACAATAAAAAAAATAACGTGTAAGATAGCTAGATAACATCAGATTAAGTAAATTAATGTGGTTTATGATAATTTAAATTTAAATAGTATGTAGAATGGTGATTCAAACGTAAAAAGTAAGGTGGTATGACTTTATGGAAGAAGAAAAGTAGGGAGATAGTTTGGACCGTAGATTAATCATCTAAAGGCTAAAAATAATTGATGTGATATGACTTAATTAGAGGAAAAAAGGAGAAAGATAACTTGAACCATAGATTAATCATTTAAGTACTAACTAAATGAGGATGAACTATATAAGTATATAATATAGGATGTCATAAAACATAATAAATATATACATTGAAATATTATATGAATTAGGTTGGATGATAATTTAACATGTTTGTATTTGAAAAGCTCTTAAATTATAAAAACTATAAAGATATAGCATTTTTGCATGATGTTTAAATGTGATAATTGTTAGTGGATGATGATGTGGCATCTTGTTAATTAGTGGATGATGATGTGGTATCTTGTTAGTGGATAATGATGTGGCATCTTTGCATGTTAAGCTTAAAGAGTTAGTGGGGGATAATTTTATAGTAAGATAGGATAACGGTGAGCCACCTTTTCTGGTTTTCTTCTGGTTTAATGGCGAAGAGTTGAGTCCTCACCCATTATATGTTAGGCGTTTTTTTGGAAAAAAAAACGAATACATATTACTATGTGATTCTTGTGCTTTGCTGCGAGAATTACTAAGTAATCTTTAATATATTTTTGTTGCTAACAATCGAGCTAGAAGTAAAAAAGAATATTAGTTATTAACAACAAATAAAACTGAATTACCAAACTATGTTTGGAGAGAAATAAATTTAGAAGACTTTATAGAAGATTGTAAATGAAATTTTAGGTTGTTGGCCAAATTTTACATTGCAAGAAGCAAAAGGTATAGGGAAATATTGATGAAAAGTCAGGTTTATTTGTACTTATTACGAAATAAACTAACTGATACCCTATGCTTTAATGCAGAATATATGGATGAATATATATTAAGTATTATAAAAATGATGAATAGATATGTTGAAATAATATGAGGGGTGATGATTTGTTTGCATGATGATTTATACAATTCAATAAATTGTGGGTGATGTTGCATGCTTGCATGAGTTTTGATATGTAATTATTGTTAGTGGATGATATAGTGACATATTGAATATTGAGTTTTAGATTTAGTGGACTACAACGACTATACAGAAGAATAGATTTACTAATATCTCTTTTGATTGTTCGAATCGACCTTGAAGATAAAGTTAGTTATTGCTAATCAACTAATGTTAATAGGAGGTAAATTAACTCTTTATGTATTTTATGTAGTATTGCATCTGTTACGATTCGACTCTTCTTCCTAGTTGTTGTTGGACTCATATATAACAGTATTTAGCATTAACTTGTACAAACAAGAGAAAATGGTGCATAAGGATAAAATAGCACTCCTCCCAATCCATCATGTTCAAACCAATGCCTATATCTCTTAGTTGAATAGGCACAACCATAGAAACAATATTGACAATGCAAAGTGTCCATGAGCGGGTTCCAAAACTAAATACTTTCACATTTTTCTCTTTCCTCATAATTGTTCAGCTTCTTGGATTTTTTTTCCGAAGATATTTTTTCCACCGCGCATTAGTCGGTGCATGACGCACTGCTTGCTTTCTCCTCAGCATTTTCGGGGGTTTTTGTACGTGAGATGCCTCGTCGCGTAGCATGCTCTTTTGACAACAGACATGGCAAAGCTGATTACATCTAGCCATCGTGGCATTGTTGTCTCACCGAGTCTTCAAGACTCTGACCAAGCCATGCGATGAAGGCCAATTCGATGAATCCGAGGACACCATCCTGTGAAGCTGAGTAACCAAAGTGAATCGTGATCCTTGGGTTCTCTTTTTTCACTCTTCCAGGTGATCACCGTGACATGACGCTGATCACATGTCCACACCATCTGTCGAGTCTCTGGTGAGTTCTCCCAGATATATTAGTCCCGTGGCCGGTTTTCTAATATTTCAATTGTTGTTTTGTCCTTGATATGAATGAATTTTATACTTATGCATGACTAAAGACATGACTAAAGTTAGATTATAAACTTCCATGTTTTTTACTAAATACGAGGAAGTTATGATTTTTATAGAATAACTTATGTTACTCTCCCATCCTAAAACAGTACAATGAATCTAGATAGATAGATGTTATGTTCAGATTTATTGTATTAAGATGGGTTTAATTCTATCCTAAGTTAGGATATTCTAGGATTGAAGTAGTATATGAATAAACAAATTTTATACTTCCTCCCGTTCCATAATTCTTGACATTTTGAACAAGTTGGAGGTCAAACTTTTGTAACTTTAACCATCGAGAACTTTAAAAATATACAGTTTAAAGGAAATAAAACATCATATATAGATTTATCTTTCAAAATACTATAAGAAAAATAAACATGCATTTATTTATTGAATATATTACAGTAGAAAAATAAAGTTAAAGCTATATTTTAAAGACGGTCTCATTATCCAAAACTTGGAGAATAAACCAGCAGTGACCGAGGGAAAAAAAAGGACACAACTACACCGAGAGTGCTAGCTGGATAGTGCTAAAGAGAGACACTCTTCTTTTTAAAAAAAGCTACTAGTACACTCAATATCTATGTATTTTTTTTTCTTCTTAGAGAAGTTTCTCTTAAATTTCTCATCCGATTTATAATCCGATTACACCGTTGTGTTTGTAACAATTAAATCTTTACAACAAGATCTCACATGATTATATTTTGATGAAAAATCATAAATTACTTTTATAATATGTCTAAATTACTTCTAAATTTCACTAAGTTACTTATTAGACATATAAAAGTATATTAGACATATAAAAGTAAATTCAGTAAAGGTTAAAAGTAATTTGCATATATTATAGAAGTAACTTATAACAAAAAGAAAAGTAATTTTAATTTAGAACTATATCTAGATTTATTAATATATATATATATATATATATATGAATGTGGGCAATGCTAAAATGACTTACATTATGAAACGGAGGGAGTAACTCTCTGTAGTAGAAATAATTATATTGTGAGTGAGCTGAAATAAGAAAATATGTAGAGTAAATTCGCAAGTAAAGTGTACATAAGATTTATAAAGTCCACAAAATATAGAATTAACTAAAAACAATAATAAAAAATAATCAATTTAGAGCATTATGAATGTATAGAAGTAATTTAGTCAAATCTAAAAGTAATTTATATATATGATAAAAGTGACCTACGTATATAATAAAAGTAATTTATAAATATAAATATTTTTTCATCGTAATATAATCATGTAAGATCTTGTTGTAAAGATTTAATTGCAACGAACGTAATGATGTAATCAGATTGTAAATCGGATAAGTAATTTGAGAGAAAATTCTATAAAAAGAAAAAAATAGACATGCATTGTGTGCACTAGTAACAACTGGACCTTTCTCACGTAGCTGTACTAGCAGTACAGGACCTTCTCTCACGTACTAGTAGCACTGTACCTGCTCTCACGAATGAGTGCATCGCTCTTTAACACTAAATCGAGAGCGCTCTCGATTTAGATTTTGCGAAAAAAAAGGGGGAAAAAACCATGCAGTGAAGAGCAATTGGGCTGCCGGGCGGTCAGCCGGTCACCCTCTCTCTCTCTTAGCCGGTCACCCTCTCTCTCTCTTAGGGTTGAAACTAGTTCGGATAGTTTCCGTCCGTCCGGACCATTTTTCGGATTCGGATAGTTTCGGTCGGAACTATCCGGAAATTCTCGGATTCGGAAACGAATTCGGATATTTTTTTCTCGAAAACAAAAACGAATACAGTAAGGGTACTATCGGTCGGAATCGGAAAACGGTCGGAAACTATCCGGAATTTTTTTCAGATATCCGCAGATATTGACTAAATTTTAGAAAAAACACGTATATATACATAACTTTTTCATACGGAATCAGATGAAGACAAACTTTATATCAAAATTGTAGAGCTCGATGAGATCTACAACTTTATTATTGACTATTTTATTATTTGATGTCATTTAAGGTTCTAAATATTCATTATAATATATCATATTATTTTTTACAAAATCTCAGATCTACAGTTCAAACGACATCTGATGGAGATGTGTTCCATAACAAAGTTGTAGAGCTCAACGGGATCTACCACTTTGTAGTTTATAATATTTGTATTTGAAAGCATTGAAAGTATAAAACAAACATTACAAGTTTCGAAGATGTGAAGTAAAATAAATAATATCTTTAATTTATACAATGGTAAGTAAGTTATACATCGTAAAAGGTCTTGGGAATAGAAAATGATAATCATATTTGCATATGGATCTTTGATAGGAACAACCATAAAATCGATTTTCACATACGGTTGTGGGACTGTCTACAAAATTGACGATATAAATGTTGGAGATGTTGAACTAAAATAATAAGCGATATATCTTCCTTGATCAAGAAACTCAATTTGAGAGGTTTTTTTATATACCGGTAAATATTCGCTACCGTATTTGTTCCATCTCGTATTCGCTCCGTATCTGTATTCGATAATATTCGATTTCATTTTCGTATCCGAGTTTTCGATTAAAAAAAAATGAAAACGAATATGATAAAGTTTCCGTACTTTTTCGATCCGTTTTCATCCCTACTCTCTCTCATGATATCTGTCTGTCGCACACGGACACGGGGGGCACACGCTCGGCCGGCTCCTCTTCTCATCCTCCACCTCTCCCTTCCCTTCCGCCTCTACCTCCACCTCCACCTCACCTGCGCGCGCCTTCCCCCCATTGCCTCCGCCTCCGCCCCCTCAACCGGAGGAGCTCCCCCGGCTGCCGCTCCGTGGCCCGTGTCCCGTGGCCGCTCTCCTCCCCAGCCCTGGGTGGGTCGGCGTCGGCGGCGGGGGAACTAACCGGAGATCCACCCGGACCCGGAGGGAAGGGAGGGGGATCCCTTTGCCCTTTGGAGGTATCTCAGCTTGTTTTGGATTCCTCTTCTTTTTCCTCCAAGAGTCTAGTGCAAATCACTCCCCCCTCCCCGTTCTATCGCGGACGGATTTGTTTTGCTTTACTTTCTTGCTTGAGCTTGATGCGTGCTACTATATGTCCTTAGTAATCCTCCGATTAAATTCCATCTACTCATCATGTTTACGATGTTTCAAGCCACACGCACGACATATTGATTGGTTGATTGATGCTAGGATAGCCCCGTTAATTTTCGTGAGATTGTATTTTTGGACTTTCATGGATGACAGACGGTTAACCAAGCATGCCCGAACCATGGAACTTTGACTAATGCAGGGGGGGTGGGTTCAGGGGTGGTGGCGCGGAGGCCAGCGTTGTTGAGTGCGAGCGGAGCTCGGGGTGAGCTGAGATGGTGCTGGTGGTGAAGCAGTACCGCTGCACGCACTCCGCGAGCTGCCTCTGCCTCAAGGGGCACATCAGCGAGGACGCACTGTTCCTCGTCTTCCGCCACATGAACTGGAACCCGAGGATGATCGCGCTCTTCTCCTGCGTCTCCAAGTGGTTCGACGACATCGCCAAGCGCGTGCTGTGGAAGGAGTTCTGCCACGCCAGGGCGCCCAGGATGATGCAGGACCTGCACTCCGGCGGCAGCCACATCGTCGACGGCAACTGGAAGGCGCTCGGGAAGCTCCTTATCCATTGCGCGGGGTGCACCAAGGGTGGCCTGTTTGGTAACATACACGTTCCTGGGCACTTTGTTTTCAGGACCCGCTTCTCAAGGACCTGCGGAAAGAGCATCTTGCCTCCGCAGTGCAGGACAGATGTGTTGTACGTCTCGGATCCTTGCGAGCACCTTGATCAGGGTGAGGAAGGTGATTTGGGGTTTTTCCGCGGCATCTTCAAGTCCTTTGCTTCTTCAAAGGTCAAGAAGATGCTGATTGAGAAGCAAGCAAAGTTCCATCCAAAGGAGGTGTGTCCTTATTGTAAAGCCAAGCTATGGAACTTGCTGCAGGCAAATATGATACCCAGAAGTGCTTCCATAAGGTTGGATGCTTATGACGATTCTGTTGAGTATTATATATGCCTTAACGGACACATCCTTGGTTTATGCACTCTGATGCCTGTCTCTGATTCCGAGGATGCAAAGGAGTAGTTATCAAGACTTGAGTCAGGTACCTTTTTTTTTCTCCCTTTTGTACACATGTAGTCTACTGTTTACCTATGTAAAATAAAAGTTACTCCTACTGTGTATTTAACTTGTTCCTTTAGGATGTAATGATGTACATTCTTATAGAGTCACTAAGCGTTACTTGATTATGAAAACAGAGCAACGTCCTTTTCGAGAGCAACTGAAAACATTTTATGGAAACAGAAGACTTCCTTTTCGAGGAAATCTAAAAACACCAAATCCTAACTGTGTTCATGATGAAAATGTTGTACTTGGGACTAGACAACTAGGTGACTAGTATTCAATGTCACCCATCCTTACCTTTACGAGACTAGTATTATTGTGCTGGTCAAGCTGTCCTTAGAAGGCAAATTGTACTGCAGTTTTCCTACAATTGTGCTCTTGCTTGTTAGAACCTGCCATTTATTGACAGGGATGTTTGGTAGCTATAACTAAAAGATGATTCAATAGTATGTACTTGTGGTTGGGTTTGATCCTAATTAATTTTTGAATTATGCAGAGGCTAAGTTTTGGTAGACAACCTTTTGTTCTTTGGACAATATGATGAAAGACTAAAAGTAGTAGACTGAACTATTCTCAGGAAAGGCTACGCCATATGGGTGCTAAGATGGTCAGGATCAAGATACTAATTTTGGATGAACTATTGGAATCACTACTGCTGTATAGTAGAAGACTGATAGTAGTAGATAATAAACATCTTTTGATCACCAAGATAAATAAGCTTGTTATGCTAAGTAGATAAATTGTCCAATTGTAATGAATTACATCGAATCGGCATTGAAGTGTTATTTAATCTGATTGTAGTGTTCAATTTATGGTGCATCAAATAGCTTAAAACTTTTCCATATTGTGAATTCATTAAGTTAAAGAATAGCTGGGCTCTTGAGCATACCTTGTGATGGTTGCTTACATGTGTATAGGCTGTTAGAATATACAACGTTTTGTTTTGTGAACACGCATGCTTCAAGATTTTAGATTATGTTCCCGTCAAGAACAAAGCCAAAAAGAAAAAAAAAGCATGTGACTGTAAAACTTATTTATAAACATGAGAAAATTGGCTGCATGCATTTATCTTTGTAGATCATACATGCATTTTTTTTTGTAACTTTAATTTATCAAGCTTTATTGAAAATGAAATTTGAGAGGGGATGCCTGCCCTTATATATGTGTTAATTACTTAATTAATGAATTAACAAAATGGGGATTTCGAACTGCACCAGTCTAATTCAGGATGGGGACTTACGGCTTACATTATTTTTTTTTACTGTCCGACTAAAACACTTTAATTTCGTTCTTTTATGGCAATATGATGTTACATGGGAAATTCAACTTATATGTATACGTTTGATTTATCTCTTGGAAATGTTTGTTTGGGATATACTGCCTCTTATGTTAGCATCATGAGGTTCCACAGACTAAGTTTGGTTACGCGCTAAACCGAAACGGACCAAACCTGATTTACATCTTTTATCTTTTACCATTTATTTACAAAGTAACTTGATATACAAGATAATGACACATAATACACAGACCGATTTAAAAGGTAGTCTTTTTTACAATATTCCTACAGGAGGATAAACTATAGCTTCCTTCTCGTATATATTTTGGCACTCACTATCAACTATAACATACCAATGATGTTATGCTAGGATATTACAGAAGTGGTTCATATGGTTCCTGCAGGTTTTTTTTTTCCTTGTGAGATGATTGTCATAATTCTATCGTGTAAAAGCTTAAGCAGTTCCAAGAGAAACTTAATAGTAGATGAATTCTGTCTTGTGATAAATATAAGGAAAAAACTGAGTTTTTGTCCACAGAGAAATATCTCTATATATACATTTTTTATAAGAAAAGTTTATTCCACCTGTTCAGTTTGGCCTAGAATTCCTATATGGCATTGGGGACTGTCTACCCTTTTTTTTATTGGAACAATTTCCCAACTTCCATGTTGAATTGATGTCCTGACAAAAAAAAAAAAATGGGGGGGGGGGGGGGGGGCTGTTCATATTGTAACCAAAATAAACCTTACCAAATTTAGGCAGGATTTCTTATGTATTTATCAAAGTTTGGTAAGAAACTAAATGGATGCACATATTTAGCAACTTTATCAAAAAATGGTATGGTTTGAAATTGCATTAATCTGAACAAGCCCTAAATAAAAGGACTAACAGGACAGTACCAAAAAACAAAGCCTTAAGCTTTTTTACTTGTGTTTTAGAGAACTGTACTGTTGTTCTTCTCAGTGTAATTTGATAGTTCCATGGCATTGTTATCGTTGGATGTTAGTGTTGGCAGGAAGCAAACGTTGCCGATTACAAATGCATTAACTCTGAAGAAAAAAATTATACTGTAGAGAATAGTCCAATGAACTGGATGCAGCGAAACTGTAAATAGTCCAAGGAACACTAGACATTCTCTTAGTTTTCATGTTTCTGTAGAATGAAAAGCTTATGTAATGTGTTTCTAATGTGTTCTGGTCTTTCTTGCTGACAGGTGGCCTTATTCATGACTGGTCTGTGAATCTTGTACAATGTTGGATCTTGCTTTCTACTAAGAATCAGTAGCTCGATAAGAAAATGTTGTTTTTCTTGGTGCATGTACAATGTGGGATCTTTCTTTCAACTAATAGCCAGCAGCGTAACAAGAAACGTTGCCGTTGTATTATCTGCATTGTTCTTTGTACCAATAGAACATTAGAAGGCTCTATGTCACCACTTCCTTTTTTATGGGTACCTCATTACAGGTATCTTGTATTGTATCTACATGTTTTACATTATCTGACATGGCATGTAGCATTAAGGGACATTCGAGCTGTACAAATTTTGCTTGTGTGCAACACAGCTTCTCTGATAATTTTCACATCAATGTCGATACTCGATATCATGTTGCCCATAACCATGGTTGTGCATACTGTTCCACTGATGTAACCAGACTCGAGTTTCTATTACTTTTGACGAGCGTTCTTTCATCTGTTTGATGGTGTCACATTTTATTGATTTGCCAACTCTTTAAGATCAGAATCACTGAAGTTTCGTAGTTCCTTTTGTCGAATTATGGACAAACTATCGTTTTGTGGTTCCTTTTATAGCGATGAGCACAAAAGTCAGAGTTTATTTATCATGTTTATAGCTCGGAAGTAATTTCCAAAACCAAGTGAAATGAACTCCGGTTCTAAATATAAAGCAATCCGCTTTTAGAACGAATATAAATGTAATCTGAGCGGGCATTTTTCTTGGAAAATTTTGCTAAGACATCTAAAGTTTGTATAATTTATTGGTGAACATTGTAAAACCATATTATAGCTGGAGAACGAACAGAATAATTTGCCGCAAAACATTTTTGACCCAATTGGATAAAGAAATTAAAAAAAACAAGAATACCCATTGCTGAAATGAAATTGGAGAAAGAAATTAAAAATACAAGAATAACCATAGCTGAAATGAAAATTTTGAAATTATGTTATTCCCAATTTTGTCATCACCCAAGTACATTGTTAGCCTATATTATATTTTATCTTAACTACAACATCAGGTTATACTCATGTAGCTTCAGTGGCACTTTTGATTTTCTTTTTTCAAAAAAGAATTTACCTCTCCAATTGGGTCAAGATGTCGAACAAATTATTAGTTTTCTTATTCGTCCAACCATAACACGTTTTTATAATAATCTACCAACAAATTATATAAATTGAGTCTCCTATTGCAACATTTGTCTTTCTCTGAGTCCAACTGACGAACACGGCTGACAAGACAAGAGGTTACGCAGCTACGATAAACCCGAAAGCTTATCCTTGCGCACAGGCGATGTGAAGACATTTCGCTGGAAATATTAGAGACAAAATAACATTTCTCAGCACAGACTTTGTGCTTATGTAATGTTGAACTAGCAAGGGAAATTGTGTCTGTATACTATGCTATCCACTCAAGTTTGCTAATCTTCTATCTACATTTTATTCCTCATCTGCTAAAAGTTCGGCCCATCAAACAGCCGGCAAAAATTTCTCGTCTTCAGCAGCAGCTGGTGCGGATTCTTCACTCATTTTGTGGAAAACGAGCTTTTGCTGAGGGAGCTGACCATTAGATGGCACGGTGACCTGGGTGTCTACCAGGATGCTGTCCTCGTCCTTGAAATCACCTCTCAGGATACCCTTCGCCAGCTCGTTCTCCACATACTGTTGAATCACTCGCTTCACTGGCCTGGCACCGTAATTCGGATCGTAACCAAGGCTTCCCAGGAATTCGACTGCTCCAGGCGACACTTCGAGTTTGATCTTGCGATCGGCAATTCTTTTTTGTACTCTTGCAAGCTGTATAACAGGAAAAGCAAAAGAAATTCAATCAAGATATGAAAAGGTACCATTGAGTTTGTACATTGTTGTATATACATAATTCACATAATAATCATCGGTGTCTTGCGAATGTGAAGTTGACCTCAGCAAAGTAAAGAAGCTTTACCTGTAATTTGACAATGCTGTTGATCTGTTCCCTCTCAAGTGGCTTGAAGACAATGTACTCATCAATCCGATTCATGAACTCCGGACGGAAAACAGATCTTGCAGCATCCATCACCCTCTTCTTTATATTCTCATAGGCTGAATCAGTTGACCCACCTTCTTCATCCATGTTTAGTATGAACTGTGAACCAACATTGGATGTCATGATAATGATACTGTTGGTGAAGCTCACTTTCCTGCCCTGCGAGTCAGTAACCCTTCCATCGTCCAATATTTGAAGGAAAACATTGAATACATCTCCATGGGCTTTCTCAATCTCATCAAACAAGATAATGGAATATGGCCTCCGACGAACAGCTTCCGTAAGCTGACCACCCTCTTCATACCCAACATAGCCTGGTGGTGCACCAATCAGTCTTGAGACAGAATGCTTCTCCATGTATTCACTCATGTCAATCCTAACAACAGCTTCCTCAGTGTTGAACATAAAAGCAGCAAGGGCTTTTGCTAGTTCCGTTTTGCCAACTCCTGTAGGGCCCATGAACATGAAACTGGCAATGGGGCGATTTGGATCGGACAAACCAGCCCTGGATCTCTGAATAGCCTCAGAAACTGCTTTGACTGCAGGATCCTGCCCAACAACACGCTTGTGCAGTTCTTCCTCTAGATACAGCAACTTCTCCCTATCAGATTGCTTTAGTTTAGATACTGGAATACCAGTCCACCTGCTCACTATTTCTGCAATATCATCTTGGGTGACCTCTTCTCTTAGCATGGATTTCCCAGAACTTTGATATTCATCTAGCTCTTTCTCTGTTGTTTGAAGCTGGCGCTGCAATGCGTTCAGACTGCCATACTTCAGTTCAGCAGCACGATTGAGATCATACTCACGTTCGGCCTGCTGGATCTCCACATTGACCCTATCAATCTGTTGCAGCAGTTAAAAGCAAATGAGATAACTGACAAAAGCAATTATGCTGTTATATAATAATATAAGCTGCTAAATTGGGAGTTATATTTTACCTCTTCTTTAATAGATTGAATCTTAGTCATCACCGACTTCTCACGCTCCCACTGCTCAGTCAGGTCCTTCTGCTTTTCTTTCAATAGTGACAGTTCTGCTTCAATTCGAGATAGTCTGTCCCTTGATGCTTTGTCTGTATCGTTTGTTAGTGAGAGACGTTCCATTTCAAGCTTTATTACAGCACGATCAATCTCATCTAGAGCAGTTGGCTTGGAAGTTATCTCCATTTTCAATTTGGCAGCTGACTCATCAACCAAATCAATTGCTGTAAAGAAACACAGCTACTGGTTAGGAAGAGCCATAAAAGTTCTTGATAGAGATTATAAATAGTTATCCTTCATAATGCTTGATCATCTTATTAGCTTCTAGGGAAAACGGAAAATAACTGGAGGGGAGAAAAGGCACCTTTGTCCGGCAGAAATCGTCCACTAATGTAACGGTCTGAGAGAAGAGCTGCTGCCACAAGTGCACTGTCTGATATGCGTACCCCATGGTGCAATTCATATCTCTCCCGTAATCCACGGAGTATTGAGATTGTATCTTCAACTGAAGGTTGATCAACATAAACTTGTTGGAAGCGACGCTCCAATGCAGGATCCTTCTCAATATATTTGCGGTACTCGTCAAGGGTTGTGGCACCGATACAACGTAGCTCTCCCCTACCAAGCATCGGTTTTAGAAGATTACCAGCGTCCATGGCACCATTTGTTGCACCTGTAACAAGATGAATGCTTATAAATTTCTGAATAGAGTCAGGAAGCAACTGACATTCTTGAGTAGTAAATTCATAGAAAGAACAGACATGAAAGGGCTCCCAACAGCCAAACCTTGGTATTTTATGCAAATTTCAGTAAATTAGAACAGAATTAAAACCAAGCTGCTACTCAACTTCATGTCATTCAAAGTTGTGATGAAATGGATATGACCATGGCCAAAGAAATTACTATGATTGCATTCCATCTCAGAGAAACCAATTGTTTATCGTGACAGAGAAAGGAAACAAAATGGATAGCTGTGCCAGCATATGTACGGGGTGCTCAAAATACATTTATGTAGTTCACTTTTCAAAACTTCTAGAAAATATTGTGTGAGAACAGCGATTGTGGGAGTAAATTTATGTAGTCCTATCATTCAGGTATATAAAACCTTTGGACAGATCTCATGGCTCATAGCCTATATGTACTCTTTTCTTCCATAAGCACTGATTTATTTATAAGTTTATACTAAAACTACAATTCCACAGAGAACGCAAGATTGAGTTGGATCTTAAAATTTCAAAAAAAAAATTGCCTCCAAGTTAGTGTAATGAGTGTTCTCTAGGTAGAACAAATGCCATATAAAGTGGCATTGGCAAATAGATCACCTTATGCCATATCAGGCAGTAATAAACTAAGCACAGCTAAACCACTTTGTGATGTACCGGTCGCTGGTCTAATAACTGTATTCATTCTTTCAATAATGCATGTCATCTTCCAAAACTTCTAAATGATATTCAGATGAAATAATCTGTATACAGGAAAAATGTTCCAGTAAGTCAAACAAATAACTGAACATTCTACATCTAATTACCTGCTCCAACAACAGTGTGAATCTCATCAATGAAAAGAATGGTTTGTCCATCAGAATCTGTGACTTCCTTGAGTACAGCCTTCAGCCTATCCTCAAATTCCCCACGATATTTTGCCCCAGCAATCAAAGCACCCATGTCAAGTGCAATTAGCTGCTCAAAAGAAAATGAAAATTTAGGGGAAGCAAAATTAACATCGGGTCTTCATGATGCTCTTGTTCTTTTGAGCTTTTCAGAACATAGGAACTTCCCTACATTAGCTCTAAGCTGAGAATTCATAATTAAGGAACTAGTGCATCGAATACTATACATCCAAACAAAAACACAAGATTATATAGAGAGTACTAGGAAACTGTGATCATTTTATAGGCTATTCAACACAAAAGCTTCAGTAACCAGGGAAATTTACAGAATAAGCAATATAAAAACCAGTTATACTATAAAAACCAGTTATAGTAGCAGGCTATGATATAAATTATAAAAGTTTACAGGCGGAAGGTTATTCTACAAATAAACTGGAATAAACCATGGAAAAATACAGAATAACAATCACAGCAATATATAAAAAACCAGTTACGATAGAACTTTTTACGAGGCTATGATATAAAAACTTACAGGAGGAAATAAGGAATAAGCAATAACAAGATTACGTATATATTAAGCACATCAAAAGCATAGCATAAATACATGAATGAGTAAACTTACTCTGCGGTTTGTTAGAGCTTGCGGAACATCTCCTTGCACTATCCTCTGAGCAAGCCTAAGAAAAATTTAAAATCAAGTTAGAGCTTGATAGACTGCAGGGTGAACTACTGTGTGAAATAGACTGTTTTAATACCCTTCAGCTATAGCAGTTTTCCCCACACCAGGTTCACCAATCAAAACTGGATTATTCTTTGTTCT